AAGGTGACTGGTCGTTACTTGTGATGAACCTCTGGGAAGATGATCGGTTGATCATCGGAGAGTCCCTGTACCGTCAACGGAACAATCTCGGCAGAGAAAGTTCTTGTAGTCTGCGCAGACGTCCCCGTAGAGTTGTCGTCATCTAAGGGGTGTATAGCTTTCTCTGGGTAGAGGATGGTGTCTCTACATCGTCTGCGAAGTTGTAGACGCTGCCCTATCTGCGTTGGTGGCGACGGGACCCATGGGAAGCTCATCAGTCATCAGCGTTGATACATCGAGCTGATTGTGGATCTGCGCTGACATCACTGTAGCTGATACCGGTCGTCTCTTGTGATGAACCTCGGGAATGATGAGCGGCTGCTCATCATACAGGCCCTGTTCTGCGACGGGAACAATCTCGGCCGAGAAAGTTCGTGCGGTCTGCGCTGGCTTCCCCTTGGTGGTAGACGCTGCCCTGGGGGTGCGGAGTCTGCGCTGAGATGTAGATGCCCTCTTAATCTAGACTGTGACGACTGGATGTCTGGTGATGCAGGTCGCTTCTTGGAGACGGCGGACTGCATCCCACGGGGTTGACTTGAGAGGGATTCAGCCGCACATCCATGCCTGGATATAGCTTACGTGACCTATCTGCTGTGCATCACAAGACGCAAAGTAAATATTTGTTAAATGCAGAATTATATAAATTATTGCAAAAACTGCAACCTGAACTGAAACATGGTACAGTACAGCTAGGGCATATTAAATGCGGATCAGCAGCAGAAAAACGTAACTTGCAAACAGTACAGATTTTCATCAACGTAATCTACTGAACAATCACGGCGTCCCGTGAATAAACAGTAGTAAATACGAGTAAATACAAAAAATATTAAACCATATTGTTGAAGGATACTAGCTAAACCTCTATAAGAGACTTGTAAAGGTGACTAAGTAAGAATAATCAAAGGATATAGTGCCGTAGGGAGACACAGGCGCTCTCACATCCTGCTCACTGGGCGAAGGAGAGAGTGAAGCATGAGGGAAGAGGGAGGCAACTCTTGGTGAGTACTAATTAGTGATTTTACATTGAAGGGAGCTTCAATTAGGGAGATACAAGTGTTCCACTATGTTCGCAAGAAGAAGAAGACATGCAAAAGAGCATGAGTCAGGATAAGGAAAAATTAAGTTTTTGAGAAGCAACATAAAGCACCTGTCATAGATGCAATGATTACATACAGTAAACTCCCTGGATCTCGAACTCCTGAATCTCGAATCTTCTACATATCTCGAACCTAATCTCCGGTCCCAACCTCTTCTTATATATTTATCATTATTTTTGCATTTATATCTCTAAGTTCGAGATTGACATACACACAATATCTCGAACCTGAAAATTAGTCCCAAGATCACCAAATCATATAAATTTGTATCTCAATCTTGAACTGTACTCACCATAACAAACTTTTTGCAGACATGTACAATGCTTTGGCAACAAACAATTAGTTGTATAAACAATTGCACTTACATGGTTAAATAACGTGAGGATTAGTTAAATTGAGTTCACCGTGTCACTGCCAATTTGTTTTGACAATCATCTTTGAGGCTATGACACGTGAGCAGTTAACTAGCTTCATCTGCCGTGCGTGGGTACATCAAAAAGACGGACCGCTAATTCACCTAAACATACGGATTAGGTAAACGGAGTTCATCATGTCACTGCCAACTTGTTGACAATCACCTTTGGGGCTATAAAAGTGCCCTGCTATGGGAAATGGTCAGTCATTTTCTTGCATCATGTCAAGTGTTGATGATTGCGAGCAATCCGGTGAAGGACCCAGTCATCGTACTGGGTGGATAGCCGGATCCACATGACCGGACAAAATCCACCCCAAAATTGACACCCCGGACAAAATCCACCTCTCAACAAAAAAATGGACAAAATCCACCCTTCTCAAATTGCTATTGTTAAAAGTTTTAGTGTGTCCTGATCTTTGATCAAGTTGTTTTTCTCAAGCATTGCAAGCATTGCTTTGATAGCATTTATGTTTTCCTAATTGGCTGTTGTTCCTAGATGTTGTTTCAAACATTAAAGGTTTCTCCATTTGTCACATTTTGAAAAGAACCAGAGCAACCACCAAACCTATCCAAGAACGCCTTGAAGGTCTGTGCAAGACCTACGCAGTGAAGGAAAAGACACTCGAGGACTTTCTCCACGGCGTTGGCCGTTGTTTGTGTTGTTGAAATGTGGCAAGATGTTTAGTCATAGATATGTCTGAATGTGTGAAAATATATGCTGTTGTCATATTTATATATGTATTGATACATGAATGATTCATAAATGTGAAATGTGAAAATGTGCAATTGTCATATTTATATATACAAAAATGTGCTTACATATGTATTTTGGTTGTTTTTGTTTATGAATGACTGATATGAATAAAATTCATTTCTGTGACTAAACATGTCATTAGTTTTGTTTTTCTTAGGGTGGAATTTATTAGGGGTGGATTTTGTCCGGGTGGATTTTGTCCTGGATTCCCGGATCCAATGTATCGACACAGACACGGAAGAGAAAATTAACAGTGCATCTTCATCCTGTAGATGTAGATTTTTGTTTTCTACGTTGCCGTATACAATTACACTGTATGTAGTACTATGTACACTATGTGCATATATACAATGTATTTCAATCTCGAATCACACGATATCTCGAACCTGTCTTGATGGTCCCTTGGGGTTCGAGATCCAGGGAGTTTACTGTATATGCAATGTAAGGACCTAATATCATGAATATGTCCTGTAAGGAACCTTGAAATAGGTTGCCCTTTTGAAGGGCAAGGCAAAAGACTGGAATGTATTGACTAATATTTTTTTTATGTTTACATGATAACTGAATGCTCAAAAGTTGACTCATCAAACTGTGCCGTACATAACAATGGGTTCAGGCTAAAATGTCACTACAGCAAAACAGCACCTGGCGAAAACGGCACCATTTGCACATAACGGAACTTGGCGAAAACAGCTACAAATCTTATGGCAAAAACGGAACCAACTAAATCTTATGGGGAAAACTAGTTTGTCATTAGATAATCAGAATGCAGAATATTGAAATGCATCTACTCTGTCGACAGTTTGGAAAAGTTTGTCATTAGCTGATAATCGGATTGCACTATATGTTTAGATAATAAATATGTCTACTCTGCCGACAGAGATTGGAAAGGGCATCCCATAGCCGATAATCGGCTTGCAGAATGTTTAGATAGTAAATACATCTACTGTGACGACAGGGATTGGAAAGGCATTCCAATTTAGAGTGAGTCACTGTCATCCACCCCAACCTGGCCAGTTAACAACGAATGAATAACAAGGAGGGAGAGCAGTCATTGGGACTCTACAGGCTCATCCCAGAGCTCCACCGTGAAGCCAGCCTCCTACACCTCCAGACCAGGCTCATTAGAGAAGGAAGGCTGAAGGCTTACACCCGCAAGTCATCATCAGCTAGGCAGGAGGAGGTATTCGAACTGTGGAGTTTGTTCAAGGATGGTGACCTTTCTCTGTCACAACTTCTCTCAAGATGTGCAGTTATCCATGGACCAAACGTTCAGTGAATCAATTAGAGTGTCACATGCTGCAATTCATGAAAAAAATTATTACATTCTTACAGGGATTTGTAAGTATCCAGCCAAATATGGCCTCAGTGAGACAGGTAGAATCACAGTTGTATAAAAACATGTGTAATGTGTTATGTTGACGGTGCTGTTGTTATCATCTTGCTAATCTTGTTATTTTAATGAAATGGGTGAGTGAGTTATGGTTTTACACCTCTTTTAGCAATATTCGAGCTATGTCACGACGGGGGACATCAGAAATGTTAACGACTGACTGACTGACTGAGTTTGGTTTTACGCCGCTTTTAGCAATATTCCAGCAATATCACGGCAGGGGACACCAGAAATGGGCTTCACTCATTGTACTCATGTGGGGATTCGAACCCGGGTCTTCGGCATGACGAGCCAACGCTTTAACCACTAGACTACCCCACCGCCCTGAAATGTTAATGAAATAAACTATAAATTAAACCTCAATGTTTTATATATGTTGCTATAATCTTGCTAATGCTATAATGAAATGAAATAAAACATAAAAGTTAACGTCATACTTTGTTTTATATATGGTGCTCAGAAATCAGTAGCCGTTTTTGCCAATATGGTGCCGTTTTCGCCAAACACATTTGGTGCTGTTCTGCTGTGGTGCCGTTTTAGCTATAACCCCATAACAACTAACAAGTGACATAACTTAGGAGTACATTAGATCTTAACTTGCTATACACGGTATGTTTGACTGAATCAATGGGAACCTAAGTACATGAGAGTAATGACTGTTGTCTGCACACTTTGTCTAGTGTAACATGAAAGAATACTGTAAATAATCATGTCCAGTGTATAATACACACAAGAAACTTCAGATCTAAATACTTTCTTTTCTGTGCCATTTTGACTCTGAAACATTACAGTACAAAGCACACAGAGACATCTGTGAGACTACAACTACACAGCTTGTGTTCGTGGTCATGGTGATAATTCTGTACACCAAGCTTCCCATCAGATTGATCAAATACGTGTGGATTAATTAGACCAATCAACATTACCACAAAAAATGTAGTGTCATTTACTAGTATATCCCCTGTTACACTCCACTAACAATAGTGTTGTTAAATGTAAGAAAATGAATTTGCCATAGAGACCTGCGGGTCAGACATGGTAAAAATACAAGCAAAATACTGGCTAGCAACTAATCCGGCATCCTTACAGTTAAAGAATATTGGTATGACTTTCATAATTCAACTGGAGATTAATGGGAAAATCGTTTATCTGTGTAGTTCTTGGTATCTACATTACAGCGATACTGTGGCCTTGTGATGTGTGATGAGGGGGAAATGGCTTCAACGAGCTTCGTCTCTCAGTCACCAAAGTTATCCTAAACCCCCCGCATGTCACATTTTCACATGGAATTTTTGCACTTACAGATCTCTGAAGCTCTCCAAGCCAAACCGATGCCTTTTCTTTTCCAACAACATCTGGATTGTTATAAAGTGCTTGTAAAGCTTGATTTACAGTATCTAAGGTCGGCGCTTGCTCCATTTTATAAATAAAATCAACTATTTCGTTTGCAAAACCATCGAACTTTTCCCAAGCAAAGTTCTTCTGACCGGAAACAGTGCCCAGGTAGAAGTATCGGGCGCGCACTATCGCATGTGATATTTGACAAAACTAAATAAATCAAAGGTCATTTTGAAACTGATGAAATGGAATGTTACATTGTGAACAATCAAATGCAAATTGTTTTATTTCTTTCATTTTTCAAATTATATTCACCGCGGGGCTGTTCATGTCCTTCACCTTCGTTAGTAAACACTCGTGCTCCTCCCCTATGTCTGGCGAGACTGAATCAGCCGGGAGATACACTTCCACGTTAAGCTGAATTCTATCTACACATAATTCACTAACATTTGATAGAGATACGTTGGTGCCATGGACGCTGACGGCCTTCCTCTTGTCGGCCCAGGAGTGGATTACACAAAGGTTTAAAGCGAAAATATATACTGACGTATTCTTATAAAATGAAAAGCTAATAGTGATGATCGTGGCATAGGTGCTTGATCTGTTGAAATAGTTTATTGGATCTCACTGTTTTTATGTTGACACTTTGTATTTATTATCAGATAAGATCCCTTTCATAAGCTCGACCGACAAACGGGATCGAGTGGTCAGGCTCGCTGACTTTGCTGACACAATGCTGTCAAGTCATCATATCCCAGTTGCGTAGATCGATACGCATGCTTTTGATCACGGGTTTGTCTGGTCCAGATTCGATTATTTACAGACCTCCACCATATAGATGGAATATTTCTGAGTGCGGCGTTAAACAACAAACAAAACCAACTTTGTGAGAAATAAATTCAAATAATACCAAATTCACCGAAAGAGGAAGTCTATTGTCTTCTTCAGGTAAAACTTCAATGAATCATTTTATTTGTGTAACCACATGATGAAGTATATTTGATATAAGTTGTTTTTATCTAAGGTTGAAGCAATACATCAGAAGAGGACCATAGCATTCATCAATCACTTCATAACACATACTGCCAGCTTCTTAAATCGATTCTCAGGAGTATGTGAACAAAAACTGGAGCATCTTTCCAACCGAATCCAGCACCTGGAGATTTCCATGAGTCTGCTTGAAGCCAAGGTACTCTATTATTCAAATATTTCCAAGTGCCGGATGGCACTCGACCCCTAAAAGCACTAGAATATGTACTTTACCAAGAAAGTGTAATCCCAAATGTAACATGTAACATTTGACCACTTTCTGAAAGGCATTGTGTATTCACTCAGAGGTACAGATAAGCTGCGTACCTGCGTAAATTACGCAAACATTTATGTGAAAACCCAATTCCTATTAAGTCTATTGCGTACAAGTACGCCTGAAGTTTTGTAAATACTCAATAAATGTGATCTTACATGCGTACACACAAAAATGTCAAGTCGTAGCTTGCGTACCGGTGGATAGATAAAATAGCTGACGTATTCTGAGAGGCTCTATTTTAGGACATGAACTTGACATCTTGCAGTCTTTCTTATCGTTTCTCATATTAGAGATCAAAGGTAAATCACAAACAAAATTTAAACTATATTATATTTCTAAAATTAATGGAAAATGGCAAAATACCCAAATGGGTTTGATTGAGGTGAGTACAATTTATTTCGTTACTCAAAGGAAAAATAGGATACCCAATTGAGATGAACACAAGGGAGTACATAACTCAATGACCCAAAAAGTTATCTGTAGCTCTGTTCACTGCTTCGGCCATAGGACCGTCACCAATTACAGTTAAATATTACAAGTGAAATATTTTGCTAGCATTATTATCCCTGGTTTCAGTAAAGTGGTAAATGTCTGTGACCTTGCTCTGGTCTTCTCTCACACATTAAGCTACCATATGTTGTGGTTAACTGAAAAGCATGATGCGCTCACTATATTGTCCAACCATAATGAATAATGCCCCATGCTTTACACAAAGTGAGTGGCCTAAGGAGCCGGTGATAGGTATTGGAGTGGGAGCACATACTTGGTCCATGTTACAACTGGTCTAGCAACTATGGGCAAGTGATGGGGGATGTTATTATATTTTTATTTGATTTCTATATTTAAGTTATTTGATTTCTATATTTAAGTTATTTTATAATTGTGTCACAGACTGTATGCATTACAAGTATGGCATTACAATGTTTAATTTATGTACATGTATAAGATATTAGGTCATACAACCTACAAGTCACATAGCACAACATTTGTGTAAGATACATTTACTTAAAACATAATAATGTATAAATATCTTGTGTTAGACACAGTCTTTAGAGTGTAATTATTTCAAGAGTTTCTCTTCTTTGTTGAAACATTTTGAGGAGATATGTGGGTAGGAGTTTATCCCTATGAATATGATCTGGTAAACACATGTGTCTTGGGTGTGTTCCACAGCTTTCTTCAGTGCCAGGCCTGGAGAACGTTACAGTGGCAGCAAGCAGCAGCACCACAACAACTGTAACTGACTCCTCTGCTACACCTTCTACAACTACAGCTGCACCTGCCTCATCCGCCACAGCAGCACCTGCACCATCAACAGCTGTGAGTACTGAGTAGACATTCATTTGCAACTACACCTGAACTATTTCCAGCAATCGATTGGCCAGCAAGGAAAGCATTTTTATTTTAATTATTCAGTAGTTTGAAACCAATGTAGGCCCCACCCACTCTTGTTACAACATGGAAGCAATGTTTTGGGGGTCTTTTTGCAAGATTATCCTTTTATGTGGTTCAAATTGAGCTCAGAATATGCTATGATTTTGTGACTTCTTTGATTGGCATTCTATTCAGAATAAAGAAGTTGTATATCCATAAAAAAGGTCCTCATTCTTTATGATTTTGTGTTCATCACAAGCTTGAAAATCTCAGATTCATTCAGTTGACAGTTTTCACATTTTAAAAAGAATATATCATTGATGTATAGAAAAATATTAACTGTCATCCCCATGTTGATTACAATATGTCGCCAATGGCTGATACAGTGTTTGTATCCCTACATATGAGACTATAATCCTGTCATGATGTAGATTGTCATGCATCAGTCCCTTAAATGAACCCACTGCAATATTCTTCAAACTTTGATTGCAGGTTTTGTCAAACACTGCAACTGAATTTATGTCAAGATGTGGCATGTGTTTCATTTTACAAACCTCTTTTGCCCATAATCTGTCTCTAATGCCACAGATTTTGAAATGAAAAACATTGAATTTTTGTCATTTTATATTGCAAATATTTGTCTGTATCCTTCTTGTTTTAGACTATATTTTAGTCGTGAATGGGGTTGGGAGTCTGATGTTACAGCTGAAAAATGTGTCTGAAAGGTTTTGATATGAAGGTTTTGATATGAATGTGTATTAAATGCTTAAAGAGTTGTTGTTATAGGCATGTGATGTATTAGGTCATTGGTAGAAAATGGGAGAGTTTAATCACACTGGTTATGATTGTGTAGCAAATTTAGATAATACCTTGCTCTATTATATAAATAAGTGTGGCATATGCAGTTATATGAAAAACTTAAAAAGTCTTCTTTTCATCAAAAATTCATTATTTTTCCTTATCCTGACTCATGCTTATTGCTTGTCTTCTTCTTCTTGCGAACATAGTGGAACACGTGTATCTCCCAATTGAAGTTCCCTTCAATTAAAAAATCACTAATTAGTACTCACCACAAGTTACCTCCCTTCCACAAGCGCGGGAACGAGGGCGCCACCTCAACCCATGTGCCTCACTCTCTCCTTCTTCGCCCAGTGAGCTGGACGTGAGAGCGCCTGTGTCTCCCAACACACTATATCCTTTATTTATATTTAGTTTAGTACCTCTTATATTCAGTTATAGAGGTGTAACTAGTATCCTTATTCAACTTGCATTGATTATTAGTCGTGTTTCTGCTGTTTTATTCACGGTTCAACGTGTTTGTTCAGCAGTTTACGTTAATGAGAATCTGCACAGGTTGTAAACTACGTTATTCCGCTACCGATCCACATTTAAAATGCCCTAGTTGCATTACTCCATGTTCTATTGTTTCTCGTTGTAAATTATGTATTAATTTACCAATTTCTGCCTTGATAAATATTTATGTTCCGTTTTGAGACGGAAGGCAGATAAATCTCGCAAACAATCTTCAGTCATGGCTAATAGATCAGAAGCTAATATACCCTGTCAACTGTTGACGACCCGCCACCGGCTGGTGGCCTGCCGGAGTTTCCCTCGGGGGATAAGCGGGGGCGCAGTCCGCTGTGTCCAAGAAGCGACCTGCATCTCAAGACATTCCATCTTCACAGTCTAAGACTAGGAAAGCGTCAACATCATCTCAACGTACGCGTCGAACCCCCAGGTCCACAGCTTCGTCAAAAGGGAAATCTACGAAAGCTACAAATAATTTTGCCTCCGATATTCTACCTGTCTCAGAATTATGTTTATATGATGATGACATTCCGATTATCATTCCAGATGTACGTCATAAGAAACGTCCAGTATCTGCTACCGTCACTACAGCGCAGATCAACACGCAACCAGAGATGCCTACGCTGACGCCTGAGTTTATGATTGAGGGTCCCGTCACTTTCACAGAGAGGCCACCCTCAACGCCAGCGCAGACCGTCCCAGACGACCTGGTTAACCAAATCATGAGACTGATGGAGGACCGTTACGGTTTACAGAGGCCCCAGAGCCCAACCCATTATAAGTCATACAGGGCCCAAGAGCCCGCCTTGGCTTCGCGTAGGGCCCCAGAGCCCACAAACGCGCCTCCGCGAAGGGCAACCCAGCCCGTAGCGATCACTTCGCAAAGGAAGTCCCAGGCCGCCTCCGCGAAGGAGCTAGAGCCTCTCCAGTTGCGAGGGACATCGCGGAGAAGGAGCGCTTCGCCGAGCCCACACCCTGTAGAACACAGAGGTCGTTCGCGATGCAAGCGCTCATATGTCGATTCGGACACTGACTCGATACATTCGCGAAGGTCGCGAAGGCTAAGTGGCTCCAAATCTACCTCGCCCAGAAGATTTAGAAGAGCTTCGCGAAGTCCCCAGCGTTCGCCGAGGATGTCTCCTCCAAGGTCTCCTTACACTAGCCACTCGTCAGTCCGTTCACCACAGTCCTCTCATAGATCTTCCTACAGATCCGTGATATTGCTGGAATATTGCTAAAAGCGGCGTAAAACTAAACTCAGTCAGGCAGTCCTACAGATCTAGGACTCCGACATGTGACCCTACATCAGAGGAAGAAGGTATCATTTTCTCCGATGCTGAGATTAGATACTGGATGGTGAATGAGTTACAACTTGCTTCCCCATCGAAGAACGAGAATTCAACTCAGACTTACCTGATGAAGGATGATGATGTAGACAATATCACCTTACCTCCTATTGACCCGATTGCAGCGGTACCAGCTAATCTGGATACAGCCTGTTCCAAATCTTTGAAAGTCCCATCTACACATTTCCCAGTCTTCAATGCCAAGAAATTTGCTGGACACAATATGGACCCCTTTTTCAAGGCCCAGGATATTGATGACAACTTTAAATTAATCAGCGATGCCAAGTCCAGAAGTTACAAAGTAGACGATCGCAAATTCGCTCAACTAGATACCATCGCCAGGAGGATGTTCTTTGGATTGAATAGGTCTAGAACGATTAATGAAACTCTCATCACCAAGTTCAAGAATTCTACAGAGGAGGAAGATAGAATGATCTACTCAGCTCTACTCATGCAGAAAAGAGACCACCAATTTCTTACAGAGCACCTGTCAGCGCTTACTGAAACTACTACCATGGCTCGTCGGCAAGGCTTACTAGCCTCCTGCTCTTGGGATAAGCAATTTACAGAATCTCTATACACAGCTCCATGGTCATCGCCCTTACTGTTTGGTGGCAACATAGACAAGGTCTCCAAAGAAGTATCTAAAGACTCGAGAGAGGTACTTATGATCAGATCCATGGATACCTTAGCTAACTACATTAAACAGTCAACACAGAGATACTCGGGCAAGTCTAAGTTTTCGGGGCTACAGAAAGCACGGGACAAGAAATTAGCTGCAGCTAAAGATCCCAAGGATTCTTTTCATCGCCCATACAACAAATTTAGGGGAGGATCAGCTAGAGGCAGATCATCCAGAGGTGCCCGTGGATTTAGACGATGAAATTCAGGTTCGGAACGACTGGAGTCTTCCACCCCCAGCCGTTCCAGTACAACCGTCTCAAGTGGGTGGACGCCTTCAGCTACACTGGGAAAACTGGGGATTCCTACAAGATCCATATGTATCCAACATCCTATAGCACGGATATCTAATACAACTCAAGGCCAAGCCTCCGTTAACAGTCAACCCCACAGGGTTCAACGGTCAACCGGCACAACTACCTATGTTAAGAGAAACAGTACTTACTCTGCTAAACAAACAGGCCTTAGAAGTTCTGGATCAACGAAACATCGGACCAGGTTTCTACTCCCCAGTTTTCCTAGTGCCGAAGAAAAATTCCAAGGAGAAGTTTCGTCTCATATACAACATGAGCATCTTCAACAGAGAATATCTATGCAAACCACCAACGTTTCGCATGATACACTTACCGCAACTTCGGCATTTAATTCGTCCCAAAGATTACATGGCCAGCATAGATTTGCAAGACGCATATCTACACATTCCGATTCATCCCAACTCAAGGAAATATCTAAGATTTATCCTAGACGGGAAACATTACCAATGGAAGGTTCTTCCCTTCGGAATCACATCGGCCCCTTGGGTATTCACAAGAGTGACCAAGCCTATTGTCTCATACCTACATCGTCAAGGTCTTCGCAGCGCTTTTTACCTAGACGACGGTATACAAGTGGATCCAGATCCACAGCGTCTCAGACTACAGCTGAACTTTATAATCAAGCTACTAACACAATTAGGATGGTTAGTAAATCTACTCAAGTCGGACCTAGAACCAACGCAGGATCTGCAATTTCTAGGTATACGATTTCTAACAGCTCAGAATCATATTGTAGTCCCGGAGGACAGATGGATCAAGATCCAATAACTTATTCCTCAAGCCCTACTCTCTCCGTTACCACTACGACAGTGGCAGAGCCTATTGGGACTACTCACATCAGCTCAAGACTTGACAGTCAGAGGCAGGCTTCAATTACATCCGTTACAAGTCCTCATCAATGCTCATCTCGAGGACCCTCTACCATTCAGTCTACCAGATTATGTCAAACCACATCTACTCTGGTGGACCAAGAGGTTGAATGTTTGCGCAGGCGTCTCCTTAGTAGAGCCGGAATCGAAAACACATTTCACGTAGACGCGTCACTACAAGGTTGGGGAGCCCACCTTGCCGGCAGGACAGCGTCAGGCCTATGGAGCAATCAAGAGAGCAAATGTCACATAAATCTGCTAGAGATGCAAGCAGTCATAAACGCCATAAGTCACTGGAGCAACCTACTACAGAACGCTCAGTTGATTGTTCACAAAGACAATTCAACAGTGGCGTTTTATTTGAACATACAAGGTTCAACAAGGTCACAGATTTAATCGACAATCTAAACATACATGTCAGAGCTTGCCACATTCCAGGAGCAAAGAATGTATTAGCAGACGCTCTCTCTCGGCCACACCAACCGTCGCCGACAGAATGGATGCTCCACACAGAGATATTCAATCAAATAATCATGGAAATAGGATCTCCACTGATAGACCTATTCGCCACTCGATTCAACAAGCAACTCTGACAACATTCATGTCGCCAGTGCCAGACCCACTAGCATGGGCAACAGACGCACTAAGCATATCGTGGGAGAGACTCAACGCGGACGCTTTCCCGCCTCCAGCGTTGATCCCACAAGTCTTACAGAAAATCAGTCAAACGCAGAGCCTCCATCTCATTTTGGTCACGCCCTACTGGCCAGCGAGAACTTGGTTTCCAGATCTCATTCAAGTAATGGGAAAACCAATTCTTCAGCTCCCACAACGCGCCAATCTATTGATACATCCGCACACCAAACAAGTGCACGAAACACCAGAAGCATTCCAACTTCAATGTATGGATTGTATCAAGGCATGTCTGAATAAGAGAGGTTATTCTGCCAGAGCGGCTAAAGCGGTCACGCTTGCACTACGTAACTCAACTCGTAACTTATACGATGACAAATGGCACAGTTTTGTCAATTACGCTGCTAAGAAAGGATTTACAGCCAGATATGCTACACATCCTCAAGTGGCAGATTTCTTATGTTATCTACGGCAAACTAAGAATCTAAAAGGCTCAACCTTGTCCACTTATCTTGCAGCTATAAGTTCTGTCATAACTATGAGAACGGGCGTCAAGTTAACAAAAACACCAGAGTTACTTTTCGCTTTGTTACGGCGTTCGATTGGAGGATCAGAAACGGAAGTTTCACGCTCCAGCCTGGGATCTAAATATAGTGCTCCAACACCTCACTAGTGAGGCTTATGAACCATTGCTATCTACATCGTTTGAATCACTGACCCACAAAACCTTATTCCTGTTAGCACTAGCTACGGCCGCCAGGATGTCAGAGATTCACGCATTGGATTACGAGAGAACACGCTTTGATGATATTTCTAACATCGCTCATCTGGGACTTCGCTGGGATTTTATAGCGAAAAACCAACTGCCAGGTCAACCAGACAGATTATTCCACGTCCCAGCTCTCCCATCCATACTTGGACCACATGATACGATGGATCTATCACTATGCCCAGTGAGAGCACTGAAAATATATCTCCAACAATCCAAACAGAGCAGAGGGAAATTCAAGAGATTATTTATCCCTATATCTACAGCTACGCAGACGGAAGTCTCACGTACTACTATCTCTATCTGGATCAGAACTGTCATACTACGTGCCTACAAGGCTGCAGGACTCGACCCTCCAAGAGCTTCTAATCCTCACGAAATTAGAGCGCTAGCCTCAACTCTCGCTCTACATGGGAATTGCTCGTTGAATACCATAATGGAGGGATGTTTCTGGAGATCCGATATGGTGTTTGCCAACCACTATCTGAGAGATACCACCACCGAGGACGTCTCAGGTATCCACCATTTCGGTCCCATGGTCCTCGCTCAACAGTTGACAGTTCCACGAAGAAGATAAGTCTATCTTACAGATTTTATACTTATCTGATAACAGTACTAATAGCTACATGCTATCTATATATTTTGCTTAAGTTTAATTTAGTATCTTAAGCTCAGTACTATGGTTTTTTATATCATACTATATATAAGCTTACAACTCCTAGGAGTTTTGCTATTATATATATGTTCAGCTTAAGTTTCATCAATCCTTAAGCTCAGTCATATGGTCATATGCATATATGTATTAGCTAACAAACTCTAAGGAGTTGGTTACTATTATGCAGCTTAAGTTATAATTATATCTTAAGCACAGTACTATACTATTATAGCTTAAATATATGCATATCTTAAGCTTAATACTTTGGTTCATTTATAAAAGTATCCACTATAAAGTTTATACAATCACATTAATAGCTTCAGCTTACATTAATGTTGTATATACTTTTGTCATATTCAGTAAATTGTAATAACCTTTATATGGCAGCTGATAAGTTAAGCAGCAGGAATTCATCAGTTCAGTGCCTTTATGAAGTTCCCATAGGGTTATTACAATCATCACAGTTCAAATCACTAATTATTAAAATCCAAAGTATATATATTCCCACCTCCTTTTCCGTTGGATTCTACAAGCAATAAGCATGAGTCAGGATAAGGAAAAATATGAAATTTTTAGAGTAAAATTAATATTTTATACTTATCCTGACTCATGAGGTAAGCCCTCCCGTCCTCCCCACTTAACACTTTGGATTTCTTCGGAAAAATAAAGTGTCGGGCTCGAAACAAAAGGAGAGAGTGAGGCACATGGGTTGAGGTGGCGCCCTCATTCCCGTGCTTGTGGAAGGGAGGTAACTCATGGTGAGTACTAATTAGTGATTTTTTAATTGAAGGGAACTTCAATTGGGAGATACACGTGTTCCACTATGTTCGCAAGAAGAAGAAGACAAGCAATAAGCATGAGTCAGGATAAGTATAAAATATTAATTTTACTCTAAAAATTTCATGTTTATCATCATAAAATTAAACTCAGTATTTTCGCTGCTGTGAAAATATAAACCAGTATTGTATGGGCCTGGATTGATGGAATTACTTTTATCCAGAGCTACCACCCTTGGAAGTTGTCTTCCTTGGTTTATCGGCTCTCTTCTCTCTTAGTCAACTGTGTGAGCAGGGTGAGAAGAAACCAAGGCTGGAATAACTGGCAGGCATTTTAAAGACATTTAGCTGGTATATGTCAGTGATACATGAGGGTGTGAGGTGCTTCCTTTTACTTTCTTGCTACATCATGTCCTCAAGTATTTTTTAGATATATGGCAGCGTTTAAAATTCACGCCTGCCCGACCATCCAGAACGGTCTATTTTCATCTCGGACGGTCAAATTTCAAAAGTAGCCTATCCGGTGGTCTGGTAGATGTTTAACAGTAAATATTTCATAATATCAGACAGGTTCTCTTGCCATCTGTTTGAGGTGTTTAAGGTGTTATGATAATTATGTTAGACTATTTACGATTGGACAGTTCATTTTAGAATAACCAATCACAACACATGTACTTTCAGTCTACCTAAACTCAGTGCATTGCCTTTTAGTGCTATGTTGTTCATTGCTATGATTGCAAACAGTATAGTATTCAGAAACCTGATTTTTGTTTTCATTGTTGAAAACGGACAGGCAAGTTTGTTTCCGGACTGTCGGGCTTGGAATTTTGGGAATTTTAAACACTGTATATGGAGATATTAAGTTTACATGAGCAATGATTGTGTGATGCCCCATGGCTTTGTTCCTCCTTCAGCCGGGAGATCCTGGAGCAGCGGCAGCGGCAGCGGAGGCCAAACCGACAATGACAGTATCACAACATCCCAGTTATGCTAGGTTCTTCAAGATGGTTCAAGTGGTAAGTGAAGGGGTTTTGTGCTTACATTCATATTTAGCAACACTTTAGCCTCTATGGCAGTTGTGCCAAGAAATATCAAGTCTTTTTCAGGATATGAGATTGGATGTCATCCACTGACTACATTTATCAAACTTCAAGAACTGCTGCGGTACTTAATAAAGTATTCCTGACCATAAATTGATTCAGCTGTGTTTAAAGGATCTGTCTTGTAAATTTAACATGGCTGCCAAAGAACCATCTTTAATTTTGTCACTGAAGGCTTATCCTCAAATACTCACCTTTTAACCTCTCCACTAAATGTCCAGAATAAAAAACAGTATTTAACCTGTTTGACTTAATCACCTCTGACAATAGTAACTGAAACTGGCGCAATTATTCCTTAAGACATACTTAGTTTCTTGATGCTTCTTCCTCCTGTCAGACACAATGAAAGAGCACTGATGTCAGTGACTTGATTTGGCAGGTTTGGGATTTGTAGAGGCAGGAAAGTTATCACTTTATCTTAACTATGATTTGAATTTATGTCTGAAATTGTCAGGAAAATTTACTCCGATTATTTTAGCATGTCATCGAAACAAACGTTTTTGGCATTATCATTCATGCTCACTCTATTTCTCATTCACCCTGTTTCCTACTTCAGGGGGTACCAGCTATGGGTGTCAAGAACAAGATGATTGCTGAAGGACTGAACCCAGATTTGCTGGAGTAAGTATCTGACACAAGAATCCAAGTTAAGTTTCAAAAGGTGATATGTTTTCTTATTCAGCGCTGTATGTAGATGTCAGGAGTTTAACCCATCTGTCCATAACAATGAATGTCCATGTGTTTTCATGAGTGCTGTGAAGCAGTAAATACATAACTGAAAAACTGCACACATGAAGATCTGCCCCTTGACTCTATGTCTGCTTCTGTGTTACCATAGCAACCCTGATGCCCCAGCACCTGATGGTGGAGGAAGCTCATCTGGCGGCGGTGGTGGCGATGGAAACAAGAGTGACAGTGATGACTTCAGTGATGACAATGATGATGATGATGATGATGATGATGGTGATGGAGGTGGCGACAGTGATGAAGACTGGTGATATTGTGCAATATGTCATTCCTCAAACTCCATCGTGTTGTACTGATTCCACGGTTCCTGATTAATCTGATATGTTACTGTGTAGAGCTGGCAAACAAACTTACAATACCTGCACATGATCCATGGCAGTAGTAGCATGGACTGGTTGGTTGACATCAATGCAATAATTAGAAGATGCTCTCTGTATACCGGTGTGGGCGAGTGCATGAAGTTCAAATTGCTCTTGTTCTGAATGCAAGACTATAAAAGTCCAGTTTCCAACCCTGCCAGATTAGGTAGGATTTTCTATTTTGGAGTCTAAGTCTATGGATAGTCCTACCAAAATCACATCACAGAATCAGAGGCTAGTTAAAACAGCAACATGGTCCCAGCATGACTCTTTTTGTCGATTGCTGGATTTTCAATGTGTTTCAAATCTGTGTTGTAATAAAACTAAAGTACTGTCGGAAATAGAAAAAAAACTGTTTTTAGGCTGTTACTCTGTATCCCTTAATTTACACAATTGCAAATAGCATATGTCGATATAACCCACATCGGCCTAACTGGGAGTTCAGTGGGATGCGTAATAGGATATCCAGCAAAGCATGTTTACTCGTAAAATCAGGCAAAACTTAGAAAAAATACGAATAGCTGCTGAAAACAATAGATCAGACTATAGATGGCAATTAGGTCGCTCAGCCAGGTATGATGACGGACCGTCTACTCACTTGGCATGAAATGCACGTGCTGCCCACAGGCACAGCGGGTCATCTCAAAGACATTTTATGCTTTTTTATGTGTATTGAATATGTCTCCATTGATTATCTTATCTCAGATGATATCTCAGTACCGTAGCCCGACCCCAACCACCGTCTGTGACACCAGTCCTGCTTTTGCTTTTGAGACGACCCCCTCCTACCTGTTTCTTTTTATAGTGATAGTGAGACTCCATGGTAGCTACATCCTTAATAGTTTCAGTATTAAAGTTATTATTATTTATGTCTGCTATCGTTTATAATGAAGCTAAGTCTAATTTCAAAATGATCATTTAAAAAGTGCCCTTTGTAATACAATATCATCGCACTAATTTGCATAAAGCCATGGTCTGTTCTAAATAAGTCGCATTGGAAAAAAAATGCATTGCTCATTTCTGCACTAATCTCTCCTCAGTAAAATCCTTCTTTTACGTTTCCTATCTCCCTCCCACTGCGACTGTAGTTAGGCCGAACTTGGTTTAACAGATATTTCACACTTTCACATATTAACTACCTAAACTGTAGATATAAATGTGAAAAAACAGTTTTTTTTTTCTATTTCCGACAGTACTTTAGTCCTACTTCACAAAAAGCCTCAAATCACAAAAGCTGATTTCAGTCATGAAAAAATTGAAAATATCTGTCAATGCCTAGTTGACATGACAAATACATTGCAAATCCTGCTGTCAACCAAAATCTGCACAGAACTCAGAAATTCCAGCCTAGTTTGGAAAGGGTTAGAACAGGATGTTTTGAGTCAATTAACTCCGATGCCTCAGGAAGTTGCAAAGTGCTATGACTACCACAAGGTCAAAGAGTGAGATGAGTTTTGTGTGAGTATTTTTATCAGTAAATTCTAGTACTGTTGAACCTGTTGAGACCAAAGATATTGTCTGTGTGGTAATTGAGTTGCCAACTAGATGAAAAACATCTACCACTGACAACTGTATAGGGGTAGAAGAAGAAGAATTTGTTGTAAGTCTGGATAATCAGCCTTTGAATCAAGATAAGCAGAACTTGTGGCATAATAGCACTCAACCCTTACATGAAATGCTATGATAAGGTCTTGTTTGTTGAGTAAATCAGGGTACCATTTCCATAAAGATCATGTTATTTCTTGTACCAGACACAATCAAACAGCCGATCCGAGGTGCGTCCTTCTCTTGGTGTGGGTCAGGTCAACTATGATGTTCTTTGTTTATGTATGATTATATGATTTTTAAAGGGTAGAGAATGGGGGCCAAAGTTTGACGTTTGGGGCCGTACAAGACTGTCAAACAACATGTCATGAGATTCTGATTGTTGTAAGTTATGTTGTTTGATAGCTCCTTACCTCCCCTGGAACATTGGCTTTAATCTGCAGTGAGTCTCTACATCAGACAGATGTGTTTTCCATGGCGTTGCATTTCAGATTCAAATTGTAACAGAAATATTATGTCTCAACACCTGTTTTTGCTTGAATTAAACTCACCCACCTATATTCGTAATCCTGAAGTCCCGGTTGGATTTCCCTCCAGCTCAACACAGTGAGTAAGTGTCACCTTTAGGATTTCTCCATCCCTGTTGACAACACAAAATGGTGTCCGAAGTGTCCAAGTCATGCGGTATCATGGATGTGAGTTTTGCAGAGTGTATCATGTACAGAAGCCTACACCTCTGCCAGTGTACACAATGTTGGCACAGGTGCTGACTTACTAATACCTATTATAGTACTACTAATAATAATACTAACAATAAATTATGATATCCAAAAATGTATTTGTGAACATTCCAAATTTCCAGATTGATTGTAATATAATGTTGATATTGTTCGACACACACACTCAAGGGACATTACTCCGTGAGCCATAATCCTGCACACCAGCTGCCAAATACCAGCCACATTATGGTTTTCTCCCCATGTACCCACAAAGAAAATTGACGTGTGTTACTGTCTTGTTTTACTTGCTGGAATATATACTGACATAAACAAATAAGGGAACGCATAAATGTGAAACCGTTCCTTGCTTCCCTTTCAGGTTCCTTCCCAAGCTTGTATTGCATTGTGGTGAAAATCTGAAAATGAATAAATGAAAACTGCGATATAGTGAAGTTCTGCTAATTATTTCCGTCAGTATATGTAGTTCTAGCACACATTCATGCTTCATGTGAGTCACATACATTAGCAGCTAGTGCTCACATATACATTAATTTAGAAAATTGTTGGTTTATATGCTTCCTGCTAAAAGTTCGTTAAAATATATATTATTCACTATATTCAGTATTTTTTTAATTCTGAAGCTTGTGAAACAATTTCACCGAAAAGAGACAGTCAGTACTTAAGAGGATTCCACTTGTCACCTGAATCTGAAAGTGTGCACTTCTTCAGCACTGGCCGTGTGTGTAGAGGCTGACATCAGTTTTCACTAACAGGCTTTGTCCTGTTTAAAATGTGCACAGAGTTAAAGGGTATCACCCATCTGTCACAGAGCCAGGGTACCTGTGAAGATCCACATTAGAATTGGTCTTCAGTAACCCATGCTTGAATCTGAAAGTGTGCACTTCTTCAGCACTGGCCGTGTGTGTAGAGGCTGACATCAGTTTTCACTAACAGGCTCTGTCCTGTTTAAAATGTGCACAGAGTTAAAGGGTATCACCCATCTGTCACAGAGCCAGGGTACCTGTGAAGATCCACGTTAAAATTGGTCTTCAGTAACCCATGCTTATCATAAGAGGCAACTAACGGGATTGGATGGTCAGACTCGCTGACTTGGTTGACACGTATCATCGTATCCCAATTGCGTAGATCAATGATCACTGGATTGTCTGGTCCGAACTCAATTATTTACAGACCGCCATATAGCTGGAATATTGCTGAGTGAGGTGTAATATTAAACTCACTCACTCACTGAGCCCTTGAACAAATTATTAACTTATTAGTTATCATGAATTGATTTTTGTCAAGTGTTTCAGGCTTTCCATGAATGTGTGAAGCTGGCATAATATGTACATCTATATAAATATGTTGTAGTATTTATTTGTATAAATAGGATACAGATGTATTAATGGTTTGCCAACGTATGACATACCAACATATTTATTTGACATTTACAGCTTTAACCCCCTGGATGTTGAGTGTCATGTATTAATAGGGGTGGTGAAGCCTAGTGGTTAAAGCGTTGGCCCGGCGCACTGAAGACCCGGGTTCGATTCCCCACATGGGTACAATGTGTGAAGCCCATTTCTGGTGTCCCCCGCCGTGATATTGCTGGAATATTGGTAAAAGCGGCGTAAAACTAAACTCACTCACTCACTCATGTAGCAATAACTTGTCGCTGTAACATACATAGACTGTGTGGACTTACAACTACATAGCAAGCCACTGGTCCAAATTACGGTGGTCCTCAAATTACTTCAGAAGTTTTCAAGTCTAGGGAGCAGACTTTTAACACTAGTGCATTGACAATGATGCTTAAACTGGAAAACAGCAAAAGGAAATATTTCACATAATGCTGATGGCCGGATCACAGTGTACATAGCTACCACTTTGTTATTTGTAATGTCAGTGTAATCACATTCTTGTTGGTTTAAATGGGAGTAAGGAAGAGTATAAAGAAGGGAGGCTTTTTTAGAAACATAAATAAGTTGTCTGAAAATTATATAAAGACTGAAAAAGAGAATCTGGAGTGCTGGTTAAAAATGTCACTTGTATGCCCATTTACAATCCAACACTCAGTGTATATGTACATACACATGAAACTTGGATTTCATAACATTATACTGTTTTCATCTGTCTGCTTGTGCACTTGTCTGGCCTTGACATCATAACAAAAACAGCTATCTAGTGGCATATATTTTATGTGACATTTGCAAGATAGTGAAGTTAGTTTTGTTTATCAAATCATGTAGAAGAAATCTTTTCATCTGAATGTATTGGTAACATCCGTGTTAAACATTCCTTGCTATCAGTTTATAGGTTGTCATTTTATAAGAAGGTTTAAAACAGAACTATCTCAGGCAACAAAATGAGATGCTCTGTATATTTAGTTTTATGAAAATGTGTGACCTGACATATCTTCCCAGCTCTAATATCATAACATAGGCGGATCCAGACGGGGGTTGCAGGGGGGTGCACCCCCACCCCCCCTTTTGTGCTGAAAGTTTGTTAAATGAAGTGTGCACCCCTCCTTTTCTCAATAGTGTGCACCCCCCCTTTCTCAAAAAGCTGTATCCGCCTCTGCATAACAACTAGTTACTAAAATGACTAATCTGTTGATATGCTGGATGTATGCCCTTAAATCAAATGATAAGAAATTTGATGCTGTTTCATAATGATTGTCATACATTTGTGTTACATGTACAGACAAAACATGAAATGTTACGTGTTTGTTAATGATGTTGAACAGGGATTTTGAAATGTGATTGCTTTTGTTTAATTTGGGGTTATGATGTATGGTGAGAATGTACAACTCTCAAAGACACACATGTTTGGCAATGTTAGAATATGGGAGAGCAATCAGTGAGAGTTGAGTTCATGGTCATTGTGAAAGTGGGTAACGTGCTTCTCCTGTGAAAGTATATAATGTTGTTAGAAACTAAAACTACATTTAAACTGAAAACGAGTCCAAGTGAGGTGGGAGATAGTGAACCCGAGGAACATGTAGACTTGCTTCATTTAGAGCTTTTGTATTACAGAAAGGACTGTGTGGAAGGGAAAATATGGTTGAAGGACTTGAGACTATTGCCATCATATGCAGCAACATTTTCTAGAGATGAATGGCCATGGACACTTGGGTATTTTTCTGTCAACATAATAGTTTTCCATAGGTCATTCCTCTTACCATACTCGTGTAATATGTATCTTAGTGAAATGAAATCATCAGAGAGCTTAAATATTGACCAATCTGATATTGTATTTGGACTGTTCTTCACAGATTGGAATGAGATCAACTGAATCATTCACACTTTAATTTAATACTGTACAGCACCACACAGCACTGATGTAGACTCGTTGACTCCCGTGAGAGATTTCAAGATTAATTAAGGATTGGAGAAGTCAAGACTGATCCGAGTCTGTATCCAGTGCTGAGAGTACTGAGTAGCAAGTGATAAAAGGGTCCATTTGTCAAATGCAGAATGTTTGAAAAGAATGTAGGGTTATGTTAATGATTGATTATGTATAAGATGAATAAAGATGTGCTATCGATGTACATTTGAAGCATACAGCCTTGGTTGTGTTATTTATGGAATGAAATACTTTCTGTGGTCTAAAGCTATAATTAAGGCTAACCTGACTTAAAGTCGAGTGATTATATATCATGTGTTCCATCAGCTGAGCCATCTGTAAACATCAAAGAAACTGCAGGACCAATGAAACTGAAATTCAAATGCTTATCCCAACAAGTACAAGACTTGACTTTGTTCAATGAGTTTGAATCCCGTTGGCTTCAAGACCAATTTCACACAATATCGAAAGCTGTAGGTCGCATGTTCAATTGTTGTGAAGGTGTCAAGCATATTGTGGTATTTCATAATTGCAGTAAAAAGTACCTTCTTGGCTAAACATGGCAAGACGAAGACTTTAAGAAAACATGATGACAAATTTTTGCATGTATGACACAGGGATTCGGTTATTAGTCGACGTGTGACTAAGCACGTGGCCACCGGTAAAATAAAAGATTGTTCAAGACCGAGGAAGTCACCAATGAATAGGATGACAGAGTCCCATTTCATCTGTCTGATAAGACGCAATCCCATGACCCATGTCGAAGAACTGCTCCGGCAGGAGAGTGGGGGTGCAATGGAGAGTGGGCTGGTCTGAGGGAATGTCATCCAACTCTCCACCAGTACCATCGCAAGGGAACATCGTCCAACTCTCAACCAGTACCATCGCAAGGTGGCTGCGGGCTCCTGGTCTCAGGGAACGTCGTCCAACTCTCCACCAGTACCATCGCAAGGGAACATCGTCCAACTCTCCACCAGTACCATCGCAAGGGAACATCGTCCAACTCTCCACCAGAACCATCGCGAGGTGGCTGCGGGCTGCTGGTCTCAGGGAACGTCGTCCAACTCTCCACCAGTACCATCGCAAGGGAACATCGTCCAACTGGTCTCAGGGAACGTCATCCAACTCTTCACCAGTACCATCGCAAGGGAACATCGTCCAACTCTCCACCAGTACCATAGCAAGGGAACATCGTCCAACTCTCCACCAGAACCATCGTGAGGTGGCTGCGGGCTGCTGGTCTGAGGGAACATTGTCCAACTCGCCACCAGTACCATCGCGAGGTGGCTGCGGGCTGCTGGTCTCAGGGAACGTCGTCCAACTCTCCACCAGTACCATCGCAAGGGAACATCGTCCAACTGGTCTCAGGGAACGTCATCCAACTCTTCACCAGTACCATCGCAAGGGAACATCGTCCAACTCTCCTCCAGTACCATAGCAAGGGAACATCGTCCAACTCTCCACCAGAACCATCGTGAGGTGGCTGCGGGCTGCTGGTCTGAGGGAACATTGTCCAACTCGCCACCAGTACCATCGCGAGGTGGCTGCGGGCTGCTGGTCTCAGGGAACGTCGTCCAACTCTCCACCAGTACCATCGCAAGGGAACATCGTCCAACTCTCAACCAGAACCATCGCGAGGTGGCTGCGGGCTGCTGGTCTCAGGGAACATTGTCCAACTCTCCAACAGTGAGGTGAGGTGAGGTGAGGTGAAATTGTGTTTAACCTCGTGTTTGAGAATATTTCGCTCATATGACGACGTGCATGCGTGTGTATGTGCATGTGCGGCTGCTTGTACTAGCCCAGACTTAAGCTGGTTTTATAGTGCTAGCCCACTGAGATACCATGCCGCAGTTAAGCATGAATACCTCACTCAGACACATTATACTGACTCCGAGGCGACCAGTCCTTGTACCCATTAATGCCGAGCACCAGTCAGGGACCAACAAGTACCATATTTTAACGTCTTTTGGTATGACGCAGTCGGGGATCGAACCCGTGACCTTACGCTCTCCGGGCGGACGCTCTAACCACTACACCATGGAGGCGGTCTCTCCACCAGTACCATCACAAGGTGGCTGCAGACTGCTGGTCTCCGGGAACGTCGTCCAACTCTACACCAGTACCATCGCAAGGTGGCTGCGGGCCGCTGGTCTCAGGGAACATCGTCCAACTCTCCACCAGTATCATCGCAAGGGAACGTCGTCCAACTCTCCACCAGTACCATCGCAAGGTGGCTGCGGACTGCTGGTCTCAGGGAACGTCGTCCAACTCTCCACCAGAACCATTGCAAATGGATATGGCATTGAGCACCAGGGAGGCGCAGGTAGGCCCAGAAAATTGACTGTCGGTGACAGGAAGCGGCTTGGTGTTCTTGTTTCTTAAAACAAACGAAGGAGTTTAGAAAACTTAAGGCTGGATATGATTGATAGAGGAACTGTGCCTGTCTGTAAGGAGACAATTAGAACTCAGCTGCATGCAATATGAACAGTGAGCAGTACACAGATATTCTCGAGGGACATTTACTTCCATCTGCTCACGTGTTCTATGGAAATGTTTGAATTTTCCAGCAGGACAACGACCCAAAACATCGTTCAAAGCATTCACAGGCCTGGTTTCGGACCCAAAATATGACATTATTAGATTGGCCAAGCTATAGCCCTGACCTAAATCCAATAGAAAATGTTTGGGGACTTATGAAGGAAAGTGTCAATAAGAAAAATCTGACAATATTGCTGAAATGAAAGAAGAGGTGGTCCGATATTGGTACAGCATGGACCACGACTTTCTAACTTCTTTGATCAGTAGTATGCCCCGCCGCATTGAAGCCTGCTTTGCTGCCCATGGTGACTTGACAAAATACTAACTGTTCACCTGTGTTTGAATCTGGAGTTATGTTCTGCTAATATTCACATTTAATACGTGAGTAATGAGTGAATTGTTTTTTAAAAATTACAATCTTTAAATCTCAATAAGTTCTGGTTGTACTGTACATGGAATTTGTTTTTCAAAGCATCTGCAACAACATGTAGTGTGATCGTAGTGTTATATATATAGTGCTGCGTGATTAATGCTCATGTGTATACGTTCTGTTTTTTCAATATTTTAAACGTAGACCCTAATCTGATCTTTGCACTCTGTCTATACTGCAAACGGAAAATAATATGGCCAGAACTCGGCCATTTAAAATGTAATAAAATTAGGTGTGTGTGTGTTGTTGTTGGTAGTGGGTACATGTCAAGTTTTTCAAGATGTCTAAATTTCATATAACCGCGGAAGTGGGAGCAAAAGCCCATACCGATCATACAAAATTAGTATCGACGGTAAGAAGCATTGTTAGCGAAGGGATCAAAGTTACCATACAGACACCATTAGCTGTATAGGCTATTATGGAAATTTCCTGTATGTGGGTCACCGTCTCACCTTATCCCAACTGCTCGAGTATTGGTGAGTGCGGCGTTAAACAACAAACAAAAAAACCATTTGATTATGTTGAAAACGTTCTTAGCTGCACGACCATTATTATTTAGGAGACAAGTGTGTTTACCTATATATGTAATCGCACTACCTTGAATTGGAAAACTGACCGTATGCTTGGACAGTGCTGCATGTGGCGTTAAACAACATATAATGTACAGGTGTCCGTAGAAGTAGTTGTGTTTATAAAGATGTTAAGTCAACTTTATCTTCAACAAATGTTATTATTTTCGTTCAATTACAAAACATGAACCAGTATGACACATGTAAGACTTGGACTAGCGTTACATCATGTTATCGAATGTGTTTACGGCAGGTGGGAAGAGCACACGGCACGGCGCCATACCCTGCACTACAACTCTGACACACATTGTCTCTGTTGTTCCAGAAACACTCCTGACTCCTGAATATTTCAATACTTGTTCTTTCCTTGCTTTTCTATCTTTGATGAGGGTGTGCAGGTGGTGCAGAAGTTGCTATGTTGTTGGATAAAAAAAGAATTATACATTTACATAATTGAACACGGAATGGTGCTCTAGCAGGTCAGGGCCCTTGAAGGCAGGTTATCTGTGCCTCAAATCCCGAGTTGTATAATTATCGTTGACATATATAACCGTTCTATCGCATCACAAGTCACAACACAATGCTGGGCCAAGGTAGGTAGGTTTACAACACTGAAATGCTTTAACTTTTCATAAACTTTGTATGTTTATTTCATTTGCTATTGTCTAGGAAGGTTGTGACAAGAGTCTCCAATATAGGATCTTTCCCACTCGGGTCCTCTGGGATCATCCCTGCCAAATACCTCGATACGGCGTCATAACCTGCACTTCTCAACTCGGACACACATTGTCTCTGTTGTTGCAGGAACACTTCTGACTCCTGAGTATTTCAATGCTTGTTCTTTCCTTGCTTTTCTATCTTTGATGCGGGCGTGCAGTTGGTGCAGATGCTGCCTTTCTATGATTCAATAAAGAACAGAATTATTCATTAACATAATTAAACAGCGAATGGTGCCATCAGTGACAGTAGCACGCCAGGGCCTTTGTAGGCAGGTTATCTGTGCCTCAAATCCCGAGTTGCATAATTATCGTTGACATATATAACCGTTCTATCGCATCACAAGTCACAACACAATGGCGGGCCAAGGTAGGTTGGTTTAGAACACTGAAACGCGTTTACCTTTCATAAACTTTGTATGTTTATTTCATTTGCTATTGTCTAGGAAGGTTGTGACAAGAGTCTCCAATATAGGATCTTTCCCACTCGGGTCCTCTGGGATCATCCCTGCCAAATACCTCGATACGGCGTCATAACCTGCACTTCTCAACTCGGACACACATTGTCTCTGTTGTTGCAGGAACACTTCTGACTCCTGAGTATTTCAATGCTTGTTCTTTCCTTGCTTTTCTATCTTTGATGAGGGCGTGCAGTTGGTGCAGATGCTGCCTTTCTATGATTCAATAAAGAACAGAATTATTCATTAACATAATTAAACAGCGAATGGTGCCATCAGTGACAGTAGCACGCCAGGGCCTTTGTAGGCAGGTTATCTGTGCCTCAAATCCCGAGTTGCATAATTATCGTTGACATATATAACCGTTCTATCGCATCACAAGTCACAACACAATGGCGGGCCAAGGTAGGTTGGTTTAGAACACTGAAACGCGTTTACCTTTCATAAACTTTGTATGTTTATTTCATTTGCTATTGTCTAGGAAGGTTGTGACAAGAGTCTCGGTTAAAGGATCTTTTCCACTCGGGTCCTCTCGGATCATTCTGCTAAGTGGCGAATACCTCGGAATCTATAACGCTTCATGAGCTTCTTCATGCTACTTGCTTGATGAGAAATCGTGGCTTTTACAAAACCTCTAAAGTACTTACGATAAAATGAAGCAAAGTATTGCTTGTATTTGTTTTGATGCATAAACTTCAGAACAAAAGTGTCGTAGGCACTTGGATGGGGTATGGGTTTTATCGTGAAATATAGACATGTTTGTATATACTCTGAGTTAAGTTAAAGTTGTGTTATCTAAATCTAAATCACAGTGCTGACAATATAAATGAAATATCAGCAGCTTATTATCATGACCATCAGCACAGCCATGTACAGGTCAGCTGCCTGCGTGTAATTAACCCTAATTAACTTTAGAGTATGGCCGGTTGGCCACGGAAGTTTAACATTGTGGACGAGGTGCTGGATACTGCAGGTTGACCATAGATGTATCGTAATACGATACAGGGCAGCCGGACAGTCAGTAGTATAAAGACAATGAATTCTTAATGTAAGGGGACTTGACCCTCGGACAGCGGCTAGGCAGGTGGGCTGACGATCGCCTCTGTGATGCTGCCTGGCCGTTGCTGCACTATCATGTAATTACATACTTAGCTGACAAATAAAGTGTTGTGGACCCACTGATGAACTTCTGTGTTTGAAGAGACGATATCCCCAAAACGCTTTACCCAGCCCGGGATAAAAGGTTCCGCTGCACTAATTTCAAACTTTTACAAAGGTATATGATTCAAGATTCCGTGTCTGATTGAATGCCGGGTTTGTCATTTACACACACGCACGCACGCGCGCGCGCGCACATGCACACATATATACATGCCCGTACAAAAGTATAATGTGTAGTGTACACAAGAAAGATATACCTGGACAGTATAGTCAGGCTCGCTGACTTGGTTGACACTTGGTTGACACATGCTATCGTATCCATTATGGTTCATACGTTTTGTTTATTGTTTTCGTTTAGCATGAAGATGAAGGGTTTTATATCTTATTCGTTATCATATTGGTAAATGCCAGTATGTTTCGGAAGTGGGAAGAAACTGTCGTAGGAACCTTGTTTGTTGTTTAACTCCGCACTCAGCAATATTCCAGCTATACGGCGGGAAATGGAGTCTGTGGATCGAGTCTGGACCAGACAATCCAATGATCAACATCATGAGTATCGATCTACGCAATTGGGATACGATGACATGTGTCAACCAAGTCAGCGAGCCTGACCACCTGACAATCGCCTCGACAAGCACAGATAGCTCGGTAGCCTCCGGTTTCAATGAAGTTTTCCAGACAAATGTAATCCGTAATAACTGCAAGTACCTCATACAAATGTCATAAATGTACCTGTTTAAGCCCAAATAACCAAAGTGTAGTATTACACACAACGACAAACTATTCTCCTCCGCCTGATTAAAGACACGGGTGTTCCGAGGTTTTGAAACCTCAGTGACTACGAACGTTATTTAACCAAACTGGCAACCAGTCAGTCAATCTTTATTCATACTGAAGGCCACAGGCCCATAGTATACAAGAACATAGTACACAATATCATAGAAAAGAATAAAAACGTTATTTCTTTGTTGCCGATTCCAGTCTGAATCTGTAAGTTTTGTGGTAGCCTGATCCATTATCGCATAAGCAAAATTGTGTTATGAACTAAGCAGGAATAACGTAACTCACTCGAGATATAATGTGCTTCTGTTTAGGATTAGTAGAGCGGTTGTCCGATGGAGGGAACGTGCTGGTCGCAGAAGGCTATGTGTTTGAGTTCGAGAGAAGAGGCTACCTCAGAGCCGGATGTTTCGTTCCGGAAGTCGTGCTGGAACATCCCAATCTTGTTCGGAACATACACGAGGAGTTTGTCCACGCTGGAAGTGACGTTGTTCTTGCATTCACGGTAATGTAATAGCGTCGTCTTCATGTTGCTTTTTGTTTACGGGGCGGTGGGGTAGTCTAGTGGTTAAAGCGTTCGCTCGTCACGCCGAAGACCCGGGTTCGATTCCCCACATGGACACTATGTGTGAAGCCCATTTCTGGTGTTCGGTGGCGGTATACTTCCGTTATGTCCAAGTACTCATGTATAGTGAATATATACTTACAATTCAGGCGATTCATCCTATGAGTAAACAAATAAGTATAGGTTACACCTCTGGGGGTGGAGCTAGGGTAACACTTGCTCACCACACTTTACCCTTGACCACTTCAGTATTATGGCCACCGTGAGAAGCTCCGTCTTATTGGAAAGGAACATCTCCTAGAGAAGCTCAACCACGATGCCCTGAAGATAGCACGTGACGTTGCGGACGAGACGGGGACGTTGATGGCAGGCAACATCTGCAACACAACCGTCTACGTGAAGGACAACAGAGACTCAGTTGAAAAAACGGAGGCAATGTTTAAGGCGAGTTTACAAGCAATACTCAGAACTGTTCATTCAGGAGTAGACATTAATGGTTCTCTGCGGGGGAGTCTTCCGAGAACAAATTCTAGGTTCATGTTATCACCAACCTGCGTACTAATCCGCTATCGGTGGTACTTGATGACAAGGGGAGGTGTAGGAGTCTAGTGGTTATAGAGTTCGTTCGTCACGCCGAAGACCCGGATTTGATTCATCACATGGGTACAAAGTGTGAAGCCCATTTCTGGTGTCCGCCTAAAAGTGGCGTAAAACCATATTCACTCATTCACTCTGTGCTGTAAGAGTGACTTCAGACAACATGTACTACACAATAAAAAGGCATATGCATGAAACTGTCCAGCTAAGACTGGTCAACTCCTCCGCCCTCGCAGTGTCATTGCCATTTTTATCATGATATTGACATACTTCAAGGTCACGTTCATTGTCAGATTTAACTCCAACAAACATGTGCTAATCATAGCTCATACTGTACCGTTAATGGAGAACCACATGAAGAATGGTACCGTCCCTAATACAAATACAATGGAAAGATAAGTCTCGATTGTGTTTCTCTTCTGTGGACTGTTTATGAGGTGACTGTGAGTCCTACTTTAAACAAACGTGTATTCTGTTGTAGCTGTACCAGAGTATTAATTAGGGATTAGGGAACACTGATTCGTCTCCAGCGTGATATATATAACCAATACATTAACTCCAGCGTGATATATCACTTATCACTCACTTCACTTTATTCAGAATTGAAGGCCATGTGGCCAAGAGTACAACAGGTAATACAACATTGTCATGGTGTGTAGAGGTGAAATATAATTCATAATACAATTATTTTAACGTTTGTTTTGCTTCAGGAATATATATATTCCTTTAAAAACAGTGACTCTGTGTATCTTCATAAGGGCTTGGAATTTGACAATTGAAGGTGGGCTGTAGAAATAGGCTGGAATACATTGGGATCTGCATCGGTTATAAAATGGACATATTAGCAACAAGTGATATTCGTCTTCAAGCACGTTTAAAGTACATTTGTTACAAACTAATTCTTTATATGGGACAATTATCTTTGAAAAACGTTGTTTTTGTATATTCAAGTTATGTGATTGGCATCGGAATTTGATCAACATTCGCATAAGATCTTTGTTTCATGCGCCACAGGAAATATACAGTTCAGGTTCAAGAAGTGTCTTAAATGTACAATAATTTACAAGAATTGATGAGTTTCTTATTTTGCTATTCCAGTGTTGTATATTAATATCTATACAGCGTTGTTTGAACTCAAACATGAAGTGATTTACATCGCCACAATCTTGGGCTAACCAGACATAGGAGAAACCTGTAGTAAATAGAAGCATTCGAACATGTGAAACCCAGTTTGTGCCTCCGTTATCATCATAGGCTTTCATCATCTTATAACAGGCATTCGGGAATCTATTTTGGTCCATACGAATAATTCGGCACCAATATTTAATACACCTTAAATGGTAATGTACACACAAGTTATATCTGCCAATTTCTCCAAGTACAGCACATGATGCAGTTTTTTTACTGAGTGACAGAAATCTTTTATAGTACTCACTATGAACCTTTTCAATACACGTTCTACAAGTATAGCCCCAAATTTCACTTCCATAGGTTAGAATTGGTAGTACCTTACTGACAAATATATTATTAGCAATAGTTAAAGACATACTTTGATACTTGGTGAACAGTTGAAACAGAGGGAAACATGCACGTCTGGCTTGTAAAGATATGTGATATATATAGCCAAGACAGAAGCTCCAGCGTGATATATATAACCATACATAAACTCCAGCGTGATATATATAACCAATACAGAAGCCCCAGCGTGATATATATAACCAATACATAAACTCCAGCGTGATATATAACCAATACAGAAGCTCCAGCGTGATATATATAACCAATACATAAACCCCAGCATGATATATATAACAATACAGAAGCTCCAGCGTCATATATAGCCAAGACAGAAGCTCCAGCGTGATATATAACCAATACATAACTCCAGCGTGATATACATAGCCAATACGTATGCTCAAGCGTGATATATATAACCAATACATAAACTCCAGCGTGATATATATAACCAATACATAAACCCCAACATGATATATATAACCAATACATAAACTCCAGCGTGATATATATAACCAATACATATACTCCAGCGTGATATGTATAGCGAATACATAAACTCCAGCGTGATATATATAACCAATACATAAACTCCAGCGTGATATATATAACAATACAGAAGCTCCAGCGTCATATATAGCCAAGACAGAAGCTCCAGCGTGATATATAACCAATACAGAAGCTCCCGCGTGATATACATAGCCAATACATATGCTCAAGCGTGATATATATAACCAATACATAAACTCCAGCGTGATATATATACCCAATACAGGGGCTCCAGCGTGATATATATTGCCAATACATAAACTCCAGCGTGATATATATAACCAATACATAAACTCCAGCGTGATATATATAACCAATACATAAACTCCAGCGTGATATATATAACCAATACAGAAGATCCAGCGTGATATATATAACAATACAGAAGCTCCAGCGTGATATATATAGCCAATACAGAAGCTCAGGCGTGATATATATAACCAATACATATACTCCAGCGTGATATGTATAGCGAATACATAAACTCCAGCGTGATATGCATAACAAATACATCAATTCCAGCGTGATATACATAACCAATACATATACTCCAGCGTGATATACATAACCAATACATATACTCCAGCGTGATATATATAACCAATACAGAAGCCCCAGCGTGATATATATAACCAATACATAAACCCCAGCGTGATATATATAACCAATACATAAACTCCAGCGTGATATATATAACCAATACATATACTCCAGCGTGATATGTATAGCGAATACATAAACTCCAGCGTGATATATATAACCAATACATAAACTCCAGCGTGATATATATAAGAATACATAAGCTCCAGCGTAAAATATATTGCCAAACATAAGCTCCAGCGTGATATATATTGCCAATACATAATCTCCAGCGTGATATATATAGCCAATACATATACTCCAGCGTGATATATATAACGAATACATAAACCATTACGTAAACTCCAGCATGAATTATATACCCAATACATACGCTCCAGCGTGATATATATATAACTAATACATATACTCCAGTGTGATATATATAACCAATACATAAACCATTACGTAAACTCCAGCGTGATATATATACCCAATACATAAGCTCCAGCGTGATATATATATAACCAATACATATACCCCAGCGTGATATAAATAACCAATACATAAACTCCAGCGTGATATATATAACAATACATAAGATCCAGCGTGATATATATTGCCAAACATAAGCTCTAGCGTTATATATATAACCAATACATAAACTCCAGCGTGATATATATAACCAATACATAAACTCCAGCGTGATATGTATAGCGAATACATAAACTCCAGCGTGATATATATAACCAATACATAAACTCCAGCGTGATATATATAACAATACATAAGCTCCAGCGTGATATATATTGCCAAACATAAGCTCCAGCGTGATATATATTGCCAATACATAATCTCCAGCGTGATATATATAGCCAATACATATACTCCAGCGTGATATATATAACCAATACATATACTCCAGCGTGATATATATAACCAATACATAAACCATTACGTAAACTCCAGCGTGATATATATACCCAATACATAAGCTCCAGCGTGATATATATATAACTAATACATATACTCCAGCGTGATATATATAACCAATACATATACTCCAGCGTGATATATATTGCCAATACATATACTCCAGCGTGATATATATTGCCAATACATATACTCCAACGTGATATATATAACCAATACATAAACCATTACCTAAACTCCAGCGTGATATATATACCCAATACATATACTCCAGCGTGATATATATACCCAATACATAAACCCCAGCATGATATATATAACCAATACATAAGCTCCAGCGTGATATATATATAACCAATACATATACTCCAGCGTGATATATATATAACCAATACATAAACTCCAGCGTGATATATATAACCAATACATATACTCCAGCGTGATATGTATAGCGAATACATAAACTCCAGCGTGATATATATAACCAATACATAAACTCCAGCGTGATATATATAACAATACATAAGCTCCAGCGTGATATATATTGCTAAACATATGCTCCAGCGTGATAAATATTGCCAATACATAAGCTCCAGCGTGATATATATTGCCAATACATTTACTCCAGCGTGATATATATTGCCAATACATATACTCCAGCGTAATATATATAACCAATACATATACTCCAGCGTGATATATATAACCAATACATAAGCTCCAGCGTGATATATATATAACCAATACATATACTCCAGCGTGATATATATAACCAATACATAAACCATTACGTAAACTCCAGTGTGATATATATACCCAATACATAAGCTCCAGCGTGATATATATAACCAATACATATACTCCAGCGTGATATATATAACCAATACATAAACCAATACATAAACTCCAGCGTGATATATATAACAATACATAAGATCCAGCGTGATATATATTGCCAATACATAAGCTCCAGCGTGATATATATTGCCAATACATAAGCTCCAGCGTGATATATATATAACCAATACATATACTCCAGCGTGATATATATATAACCAATACATATACTCCAGCGTGATATATATAACCAATACATAAACCATTACGTAAACTCCAGCGTGATATATATACCCAATACATAAACTCCAGCGTGATATATATAACCAATACATAAACTCCAGCGTGATATAGATACCCAATACATAAACTCCAGCGTGATATATATAACCAATACAAAAACTTTACGTAAAATCAAAGTCTTGCTTTATTATTCAAAGTGCAAGCAAGAGGCCATTTATCTTACCAGAGACCATATAATATTATGTGGTCTCTGATCTTACCTATGTTCTCGGTCCTTCGTTATTCACTAACCCATTCGCGAGATTAACGTCTGATTCTATCCATGTTGATGTGCAAGCAGCACATGGACTCCTGACTTCAGGGCTGTGCTGCTGCTGTTGTGTTTTATCTGAGTATATAGTCTGGGGACTGAACCGGTGTCTTTAGGAGGTTCACGTTCAAGTTTTCGGTCCTAGATTGACAACTTATTGTTGCTATTCAGGAACAGATCGAGTGGGCGCGACAATATGGCGCCGATTTCATGGTTGCTGAAACATTCAGTGATCTGGGCGAAGCTCAGATTGCTTTGGAGTCTATAAAGAAATACGGACAAGGTAGGTGACCACGTTGTTCCGCCATCTAGCCTTTGGCGGGTTTGTAAGTATGGCCAGTTGTCGGATTGGTGTACGAGCTAGTGACCCTTACCGTGACTCAGTACTACCATTTAAAGGTACACTAACAATAGGTAACATCTATGAACTGACATAATATGCTGACGAGGAGTGAGTGAGTTAGTATAGTTTAACGCCGCTTTTAGCAAGTGTCCAGCAATATCACGGCGGAGGACACCAGAAATGGGCTTCATACATTGTACCCATACGGGGAATATGGGTACAATGGGTTTTCGGCGTGGCGAGCGAACGCTTTAACCACTAGACTACCTCACCGCCCCCGTGACCTGAAGCTTATGCACATACGGAATAATTGGGACCATGTTGCAACCCGTGCACGGATCCATAGGTAGCAAGATCCAAAACATGCCCCGTTTAAATAACTCTTAATCTGCCAAATGAACACGTGCGGTAAACGTCTTACACCTGCAACACGTCGGTTTGTTCCTCTTCCATCGTGTTAAAGCCCAAGACGTAAGCTAATTTTTGGTGTCGATCGTCGTGCTGGGATACCTATAAAACGGCGTAAAATAACCCCACTCACTCATTATTGTTTTAAGTGTTACCCTTAATTCGTGGCGCAGGATTCTTATAAAGAGTGCGAGCGTACATAACACTGGTGTCATTCAAAGATGGACGAAACGTATTGACATCACATGTCACATTAGATCTTTCATCCGCTGGACATCGTTCGATGGTTTCCTTGAATGTAACTGTGTTGTAACATGCTTGATGAAACAGTGCTGTAACATGCTTGATGTAGCTGTGCTGTAACATGCTTGATGTAACTGTGCTGTAACATGCGTGATATAACTGATGTAACATGCGTGATGTAACTGTGCTGTAACATGCTTGGTGTAACTGTGCTGTAACATGCTTGATGTAACTGTGCTGTAACATGCTTGATGTAACTGATGTAACATGCTGATGAAACTCTGCTGTAACATGCATGATGAAACTGTGCTGTAACATGCTTGATGTAACTTCTGTAACATGCTTGATGTAACTGTGCAGTGACATGCTTGAAGTAACAGTGCTTGGCATGCTGATGAAACTGTGCTGTAACATGCTTGATGTAACTGTGCTGTAACATGCTTGATGTAACTTCTGTAACATGCTTGATGTAACTGTGCTGTAACATGCTTGATGTAACTGTGCTGTAACATGCTTGATGTAACTTCTGTAACATGCTTGATGTAACTGTGCTGTTGCAAGCGACGTTAACTCTCTGTATGCCAAGGTATGCCTGCCGTCGTCACCCTGGCCCCGCAGACTGTGGACACTACGCATGACGGTGTCCCCATGGCCGAGGCGTGTCGGAGACTCGAGGAGGCAGGGGCTGCCGTGGTGGGGTTAAACTGCCACAGGGGCCCGAGGACGACCATGAGCCTGATGAAGGAAGTGAGAAAGGCTTGCAAGGTTGGTGGCTAGCGGTCGTAGGGTTAATGTGAAGGACTTCCGTGTATTGATAAGCCAAGGTGTAGAAATTGACCCTTGTCATTTTCCCATGCAACCGTCACGAATGTTTCCCGTGTTCAGGTTAACTGACTACCAGCAACGGCGTCCTCCCATTTGTGAGAATTCCCAGTTGTGAGACACATTAATTCATGGTTCAGTGCACATAGGTGGTGTTTCCACATCCCTACAATGAAAGTGGGATCAGTCCAGCCCAGTACCCACAGGAGGCATAGTTCATTGATGAGTTGATTAATGAAATAGATTATCAAAGATTATATTTACACAGAAGAAATAGTTCATTGAATATTTTATTTATTCAGAAGAATATGTAATTATGATAACACATTTTTATTGACTATTATGAAGTTTGAAAGTCATTTTGGTTTAAACATATTTTATTATTATTTATGAAAATGAATTGGGATTGGTGAAGTATTACTGCTTATGTTAACACCGCTCCCATGCAATATAAAATGAAATGGAGGATGTGACGTCATCGCTATTGACTATTGCATAATATATTTTTAAGTACTTATAAATATATACAGATTGCATCAAATACAACTATTCTCTAAGTAGTCATAATTAGAGACTTACAGTTGTGTGTGTCTAACAAGCTATTGTAGGAATATAAATCAATCACGAGAAGGTTGTTGAGTTAATTTCAGTATTTCCTGTGAAAATTTGAAGGTTGTGTCTTGATGATATAATCGTGGACGGATTCAACTATTTTCCGGTTTACACAAGGAGTAAATTCTTTGTTTCCATTAAAAAAATTATCCAGGTTATAACGGGTAGTTGATATCCACAAGAGCAACATGCACTGTCTATTAAATGTGTGTTATAAAATACTTATCGGCGTTTGGGTCGCTAGATCCGAGCCTGAGGCAGCAATGAACGATTTGACAAAAACAAGAGCCATAATTAAGATCAATATAAATCTTGTTTTCGGTTTTTGTAGTTAGGTTTTAAAATTCTTTGAGACTTCATGACTCTTTGGAATTTGGTAGAGCATTCCATTCCAAATTTATTGTGTTGGGTAGAAAGGGTTTGGCATAAGGGGCATTTCGACTGTAAATTTCAGAGTTATTTCTTAAACTATAGCTTGTAGTTTCGGAGACTGAGTAAATCTGAGTAGGTAAATTAATTTCTCTTTGATCACTAAGTTACCTACACAAAGTGTTTAATTATTAAAGACATTTACCTGTATGTTAATCAATTTATCTTATAAAGTTTCATTAAGTTACCTCCACAAGATTCAGGTACATAGCAAATCAGTAATTGGCTAGGGTGAATCCATTCTATCAGACAGGAGTATGGTGTGTTTTCGTTGCTAATTACCTGCTCTACTGTCTCATAACTGGGAGTCTCACAACTGGGAGTTCTCACAAATGGGAGTAGACCCCAGCAACCACCCTTGCCGACCTAAGCTGAAATTTAGTGGTTTGATCGTAGCGCCACCAGAAGCTGTGAAGATGTATACACCTTCAACATCTCTTCTGTTGGCCTTAAGTTAAACAAAATGGCGGACTTGGCGATCTGATCGATAATCAATATCTATATTGTAATACAACGGGTCTTATCTCGTCATTATAATACTGAAAAATGGTAAAATATCTGTTGATGTGACCAATAGACCTCCCAGAAAATAACACACAAATTACTGCGAGTTGGGTTACTATTGCTTCAATGTATCCAGATGGTGAGGGAATATTCGGTGATCGTAAGAAAGGATACTTGCAACAATAGCGACCCTTAGTCTGTCACTTGAAACGGTGATATTATTGACATGCTTTCAAACTGTCTCACTTACTCACTTGAGAAATTCATTGCCAGGGTCCTATTGCCGCCCTGCCCGTTCCCTACCGAACCACGGCGGATTTACCCACAATGCAGTCGCTGAAGGACCCAGAAACAGGTGCTATACCCGCTTTCATTTTATCGTTGCACCATGTACACCTGTTGAATTACACATGCTGCTGGACACGGGTTGGTATCTGAAGACCAAAGCTGCAAATAGAGTACGAGCTGCGTAATGTTGACCATTAATCACGTGTCTCTGGGACGCTCTGGGACATCACATATGACTGCAGTGCGCTAACGAATGACTGTCGTGTCAAAAACACATCTACAACTTTACTATGGTTTCTATAACAAAACATGCCATATCTACCAACTCCGTGACTTCTTGCTTTATATATTTAGCTGAAAGGTACACCACTGAGATTCATTTAAAGGCGACTGTCAGTCCCCAAATAAATGATTCCACATGATATCTTTAAAATTCCCCGACCTTTAATTTGTGTTATAGCAAATGTTTGGAGTTTCATAGGGTCACAGACCTCTTGTACATTCAGCCAATATATGATGGAACTCATCATATTTCACTATTTAAAAATACAAACTATTCTTTATTTCTTGTATTACATATCGTCAAATAAAATACTACTCAAATATTAGGATACCATGTACATACAATATTATGAGTAATATTTTGGTGCATTGTATTGATGATATACCTATGTAAAGGTGAATGCTATATAAGCATTATTTACTGCTACACCTTTTCCAGGTACACGGGCGTTCCCCACAACCTGTCAGCCCAGCTGTGCAGTCGCACTCAAATCGCTGAGTTCACCCAGGAGGCCTTTGATCTGGGGGTGCAGTACGTGGGACTATGTTGCGGAAATAGTGCCAGCTTTATGCGAATAGTCGCGGAAGGATACGGGCGTCAACCGCCAGCCAGCAGATACTCCCCAAACATGTCCCAGCATTACGTGTTCGGCCAGAACGCTTCATTCAACACTTACTACCAGCAGGGCTTGAAGGAGACAGTTAGCAGTAATAATGATTAGATACTGAAGTGTATCTTGTTGTTTGTTTCCGTTTCTATTGCTTACATCGGGTTACGTTGTATGCGTTTAATAATTGTTTTGTAGTATTCGATAGTTTCCAGGATATTGATAAGCATTATTTTTGTGTTTTGCTCAACGGTAATATTGGTATACTTATTCCATACATAGCTGTTGTATATATGCCTAATAAACGAAATAACATAATTTTGTGTCTTCATACGAAGAATATTCTAAAAACAAGTACTTGATATATTTGCATTGACTGATCCTGTACTATGAGTGTACAATCTGACTCATCCCTATTATCCTACTCTATATCTTTGTGTATATTGAGAGGCCCCTATTATCCTACTCTATATCTGTATGTATACTGTGTGGCCCCTGTTGTCCTACTCTATATCTGTGTGTACATTGAGTCACCCCTGTTATCCTACTCTATATCTGTAGGTACATTGTCTGACCCCTGTTATCCTACTCTATATCTGTGTGTACATTGAGAGCCCCCTGTTATCCTACTCTATATCTGTGTGTACTTTGAGAGGCCCCTGTTATCCTACTCTATATTTGTGTGTACATTGAGTCACCCCTGTTATCCTACTCTGCATCTGTGTGTACATTGAGTGGCCCCTGTTATCCTACTATACATCTGTGTGTACATCGAGTTGCCCGTGTTATCCTACTATACATCTGTGTGTACATTGAGTGGCCCCTGTAATCCTACTATACATCTGTGTGTACATTGAGTCACCCCTGTTATCCTACTCTATATCTGTGTGTACATTGAGAGGCCCCTGTTATCCTACTCTATATCTGTATGTATACTGTGTGGCCCCTGTTGTCCTACTCTATATCTGTGTGTACATTGAGTGGCCCCTGTTATCCTACTATACATCTGTGTGTACATTGAGTGGCCCCTGTTATCCTACTATACATCTGTGTGTACATTGAGTGGCCCCTGTTATCCTACTATACATCTGTGTGTACATTGAGTCACCCCTGTTATCCTACTCTATATCTTTGTGTACATTGAGTGGCCCCTGTTATCCTACTATACATCTGTGTGTACATTGAGTGGCCCCTGTTATCCTACTCTATATCTGTGTGTACATTGAGTCACCCCTGTTATCCTACTCTATATCTGTGTGCACATTGTATAGCCTCTGTTATCCTACTCTATATCTGTGTGTACATTGAGAGGCCCCTGTTATCCTACTCTATATCTGTGTGTACATTGAGAGGCCCCTGTTATCCGACTCTATATCTGTGTGTACATTGAGTCACCCCTGTTATCCTACTCTATATCTGTGTGTACATTGAGTGGCCCCTGTTATCCTACTATACATCTGTGTGTACATTGAGTCACCCCTGTTATCCTACTCTATATCTGTGTGTACATTGAGAGGCCCCTGTTATCGTACTCTGCATCTGTGTGTACATTGAGTGGCCCCTGTTATCCTACTATACATCTGTGTGTACATCGAGTTGCCCGTGTTATCCTACTATACATCTGTGTGTACATTGAGTGGCCCCTGTTATCCTACTATACATATGTGTGTACATTGAGTCACTCCTGTTATCCTACTCTATATCTGTGTGTACATTGAGAGGCCCCTGTTATCCGACTCTATATCTGTGTGTACATTGAATGGCCCCTGTTATCCTACTATACATCTGTGTGTACATTGAGTGGCCCCTGTTATCCTACTCTATATATGTGTGTACATTGAGTCACCCCTGTTATCCTACTCTATATCTGTGTGTACATTGTATAGCCTCTGTTATCCTACTCTATATCTGTGTGTACATTAGAGCTGTGTATCGGTGCCTGAGTGGCGAGACGATATATCCTGATACCAGTTTAGTGAGGCGATACAATATATCATGAAAGTATTGGCAAGGAACCTGCGAGACGATTATCATCACGATACAGTGATGGCGATACGATACGTTTCCCCATACTTTACAATTCTAAACACAGGACATATATGATAGATAAAATGACTGAATCTTTATTTGTTATACAGCAGAACATGTGCTACATTCACACACACTTAAAAGGCTGTTCATGTAATAAAGTTTCAGCATTTAATGCTTAAGAAAGTACAATTCAAACATAAACCTTTGATCTAGGCTTCCCTTGGAAAGTTGTGTTTCTGCACCAATGCTTTCACAGACAATTCAATGTAATTTATACCAGAATCACTGAAAAAAACTCTTAAGTATGCTTTCTAAATATATCTTCTCTTTCTTAACAAAGCTAACACATCGTTCATAGTTGTTAATAAATGGTGTTATTTGTCAAACAACTAAAACATGTTTCAATTACTTAAGGACAAGTCTTTTACAGTTCACACAGATTGAAAAATGTTCACATTCTTTCACTGATACACCAACTCCTTTGTTCATCTAACAAAGATGGCAGACACAAACAGATTCCTATAAGGTTCATTTTGTTTTTAATATTTAGAAGTATTTCAAAGAGACTCCCTTCCTACTCCTAATGCAATACTCCTTACAACTTAAAGTAGTATTTAAGAAGTATCGGGATATATTGTCTCTTGTGGCGATACATCGATGTATCATGGACCCTTGCGATATAAATATCCTCATATATTGCCTAAATGTGTTTTGTATCGATGCACTCGTATCGCGTAGTTGACGATGCAAACATCGATACTATCGATGAATCGTTACACCACTAGTGTACATTGAGTCACCCCTGTTATCCTACTCTATATCTGTATGCATGCTGTGTGGCCCCTGTTATCCTACTCTATATCTGTATGCATGTTGTGTGGCCCCTGTTATCCTACTATATATCTGTGTGTACATTGTGTGGCCCCTGTTATCCTACTATATATCTGTGTGTACATTGAGTGGCCCCTGTTATCCTACTCTGCATCTGTGTGTACATTTAGTGGCCCCTGTTATCCCACACCATATCTGTGTGTAGACCAGTGACCAGACCGTGTTATTCTACTTCACATAACACAATATGAGAATAGGTCATATTTCCTGTGTGTCCTGCATCCTTCGTATTAAGGTCGTTTATAATACACTATATTTCCGTTTTAAACTATAGAATACATTGTTGATTTATTGTGAAGATACCTTGCCCACAACACGTACGCACCGTATTTCACCCTTGCCTAAATATTAGGTTCCGATGTACCAGGATGTTATATGTCACCTGATAACACAGTATGCGTAGTCATTTGGTGAGTCATCAAGGAATCACTTATGTCATTATCAGGTGGCTCCTTGAAATAAGGCATATGAATGTAATATCCACAACAGGTTTCGTGAGCGTTTGAGTACAAACGGATGCCCATCCTTGCCATGCCATGAGGTTGTAGAAGTCAATACTTATAATTCACGTATTTGATAATTAGGTTCAGATGTTAACGATTCATGGCATAGACATTTTTTTTGTCTTCTCCAATTCGTTGTGAATACACAGTGCCAAACTTCACTAATGTTTCAACCAGTGTAGGAAATAAGCCAAAAACCCTGCCAGACATGCATCTACTGTCTTAGTCACAACAGTAATTCTCGTCAGGGTCAGGAATTGTCGTCAGGGTCAGTCGAAGGGATCACTCTCCTTGTCCTAATGTTCAAACCGTAATTGTCAAGTGTAATTGTAACGGTCAATTTGAAAAATAGATTTTAAGATATGTTGATTTTACTCAGATGTAAGGAACATGTTATCTAAAATCGATACCAGACCATCGGGCTGGCTAGCTGTTAATTTAGACCGTCCGTCAGAAATCTAGCCCGTGTCGGTCGGTCGGACGCGGACCTATTTCATACACTGTTTCAACACGTGCTCTGATAAAGAACCATCAGTGAGAGCAAGGTACAACTATGTCATCACCATACATGGCACATAACAACACGGAGCATGCCTAGCGGTTAGAACAATCGAAAAAAAATTACATTATCAGACAATAAAGGTATACTCGTCCTCGTACTTGAACTATAATAGTTCAGGGCGAAAGTGTGTTTTATTACACTATACATGGTGGTAGAGCGAACTGTATTTCTGAATTAATCTTCGAGGAACAACAGACCTAATATGCTGGTCAATTCAGTCTTCGTACACATGCCCACTACTGTCACACTTCCAGTGAGGTAGTGTTTACGGGAAAGGATGTAAAATTACCCTGCTTCTATGTCTTGTTTCAAATAAGTTACCATCTGCTATTGTTTAGCTAAGGGTCGACTTTACGCCCGTTCTCACTAATGAGGTGCAAATGGGTAAGCGTCGTAAGTCAAAAATCAACTATACAAAATCTATGCAAAAACATTTTATTTAGAAAGTTTGGTATATGGTCTATTACATATCACTTTTTCACCCACACCATTGTACAAATAACCATACAGCTGTTATCTAAATGTGACACCTTGAATTATAAAATATTATCACCTGATACGTACGTGACTAGTTTTTCTGACTAGAGAATTAAGTGACAATGTGATGAATTATGTGAGTAACCTATCAAATATTCCGCATGAGCTTGGCGATTTAGTAGCACACATGTCTGCTCAAAGACTTTAGAAGTCCTTTGACATACACATTGTAAATCATTATTAATCAGATTCCTTTTCAAAAATACCAACAAATTGCAAAAACAGTCTCAAATCAAACCTGATATCTAGATTAGCCGACAATATGTGGGCGTAGTAGACCAAAAAATGAGTAGCAAAATATTTGATCGATCGCCAGTTGCAACAACATAAAACTCATGAAAGTTAACAGTCACTTTTTGCAGTACAAACAGTAACGTATGTAGCCCAACTTTCAATTGTTTCAAAATTAAGATTTTTATCATGAAGAATAATACTTTTACTTACCTAAAACATCGATTAAAACACATCAGCATCCTTTTCTTCAGGATTACAAGATTCTATATTTTCTTCCTTTAAAGTTTTTAGTACTACATAAAGACAATATCAGGGTAATCAATATTAATCATCATAAATTTGGCAAAAGGAACATAAGAGGACTGTATCCTCGATCGTTCTTTCTCAAGGGAGGCGGAGCCTTTTGCTTTCAGAATATACCGATATTCTGTCTGAATTTCGGCTCTACTATTTACCACTTGGAATAAGAAACAAATGAGTAACGTATGTATAATATATTTCGATACATACGTTACCCTATAATTATGCTCTTTCACATAACAAAGACCCAGTTCTAATCC